GGCCAGGTGATTCCAGGCAAACTCATTGGGCACCCTCATATCATAATCCCTTCTGGCACCGCCCGCAGGTTTAAAATTAAAACGGAAGACCCGGGCCGGAGCGTCGCCCCATAGTACAGAAGCGGTGTAAGTCCAGCAGATACCGGTATTGGCCCCGCTTACATAATCTTTGTCGGCAATCAATGGTGGATTACCGGTATTAGTGGCGCCCATCTTCACCCACATCTCTATGGTAAAATCACTGGTGGCTAAAGAATCGCGCAGGGCACCGCCCATATTCACCGCTTGTACGGTGCTGTTCTGCACGCCACTTCCATTTAGGTGCAATGCATAACCGCTGGCAAAGCTGCTATAGTCGGGAGAGGTAGTAAATGAATATGGTCCGGCCCAACTGCTGGAACCGATCCCGCTACAGGAATCCTGCACATAAAACTGGTAAGTGGTATTACCCTGCAACCCGCTCAGGGTATAAGGATTTGTATTGACCGCGTTCCGGCGGGTTCCTGTTCCAAGCGTAAAACCGGATACACCATACTGAATATTCCACAGCGCAGATCCGCCGGATGTCCAGTTAAGCAGGGCACTATTCGCCTGAACATTGCTGGCGCCTAATGCTCCAGGCACATTACAGTTGTTTACAAAATTGGCCAGGAAAAACTGGCGGCTGCCTTGCACACTATCCAGACGTATGGTGCCGGTAGTTGCATTATTGAAAAGATTGTTCTTTATGTTCCAGCGACCTTCATCATTAAAACGACGGCTGAAGAAGCTGATGGTATTGCGGAACACCAATGCATTAGCATAGTTATTGTAACTATACTTAGGATAATAATGGAAGGTATCACCAGAAGCAAAGGTGCCGAAAGACACGTTGTTATCCGCAAAGGCAGACAAGCCGCCAATAGAATCCGGCACGGCATTGATCTGGTACAGGTGCAGGTAAGCGCCGGTGGTCTTAAAGCTATCCACCGTAAAAACGCCGCGGTTGGTTGTAGCCAGTTGCAGGCTCTGGCCAGCCCATGAAGCAGGATAGCTGTTCACAGAAACATCACCAACCGGCGCGCCACTTAATACGCGGGAAGTACCGTTGACAATAGTACCGTTAAACTGGCCCGCAGTTACTGTTGCATTATTGATAACGGTATTGCCGGAGGTCTCATCCATACGATAATAAGCAACCAGGCTGCTTTCAGCACCGGTGAGCTTATGACACATATTATCGCGCAGCTCCTGTGCCGTACGTACCGACTTCCAGATCCGCACTTCATCCATCGTACCATTGAAAGGCGCCCGGTAACCGAATGGCTTACCGTCTGTACCAAGACGCACCGGCATCGTACCCGCCAGGGTCTTGCCCGCATCCACCGAAATATTTTCTCCGCCTGTCACATAAGCACGACCTGCCTGTAATCCATTCAAGTAAGCAATGATACTACCACTGCGGTTTACGGTAATGGCCAGATGGTTCCAGCTGCGTGCGATCGTCGCTGAAAAAGGAATATCATAGTCAACCCTGGTACCATTGGCTGGTTTGAAGTTAAAGCGGAGTGTATTGGCCCCGGCAGTGCCGCTACTGGCATCGGTAGAGGCGTAGTAAGACAATACAAAACCGGTATTGGCACCGCTGGCCCAATCCTTATCTCCGATAATAACGGGGTTTACGGAATTGGTGGCGCCCATCTTTACCCATAGCTCGATGGTAAAATTGGAAGTAGCCAGGCTGTCTTTCAATTCGGTGCCCAGGTCTACAAAGCTATTGGTTGTAGCTACCGGGGTTGGTGTAAGCACACCGGTGCCGGGAAAGTACATGGCCCGTACCGGCCCC